GAGGAGGTGAGATGGCACCTGTTGGCTCCAACAAAGAGGCTAGCAAACAGGGGTCCTCCGTGGCCCTCAGCCCTTCGCCCCTGGCAGAGTATGTAGGTGCCACTGCTCCCTACACCCTTTCCTGCAGTTTGCTTGTCCTTTTCCTGGCTGGGCTGAGGGCTTTCGTGAGAGGGCCTCTGTTGCTTTCCCTCACCTTCCCGAGCGCCTGGCTTTAGTGTTCAGCATTAGCATTTGTTGAGTGCGTGTGCAAGCGTTTGTGCCTCCGTCACAGGGAGCATTCATACCGGGATGTCTGGGATTGTCACCAACTCCAGCAACATTAGGTACTAGGGGACAGTGCAGGCTAGTGAAGAGAGGCAATGACTGTATATGGGATCAATGGCTTCCTTCTTCTGGCTTCAGCTTTCTCTGAAATACAGTCATGCGTCACTTAATAACAGGGCATATTCTGAGAAATGTGTCTTTAAGTGATTTCCTCAGTGTGAACATCATAGTGTGCGCTTATGAAAATCTAGGCAGCAATGATGTCACTAAGCAATATCAGCTTATGGGAACAACATTGTAAATGCTGTCTTTCATTGACTGAAATGTCATTATGCATCAAGTGACTGTCCAGCCACCTCAGAGCTGCCCACTCTTGAGAATATCCATTTACTTTTGGATTTTGTGGAATAAAGTTCTAGAATGTTTCCCTTTCCCCCTGTCCTGAGCAGGGCGTCCCCTCTTGATGTAGGACTCCTTATCCTGGGGCAGGGCCATTCCTCCAGTCCCCTAGAGTGACTCCCTGGCCCTGTCCTGGTGGTATCCTGCCCTGCTCCATCCTTAACCACCCCTCTGATGGTGCTCCTGCAAGGTGCTAGGTGAGGCACCTGACAAGGCTCAGGAGACTGTTGAAGGACCAGTCCCCAGAGGGGGCCAGGGCTGATGGAGAGGGGAGGAGGGTAGTGGTTCCAGAACCACCAAGTATCCAGCCCAGGCTGGGCTGGAGAAACTGCTGGAAGGAGAGCAGAGGTGAAAGGCCTTAAGTTCCAGGAATCTGAACTTTATCACAGAGGCAGGGATATGCCCTGGTCCCAGCCAGTCCCTTTGGATGACAGGGGAGATAAGGTCAACATCCCTGGCACCTTCTGTTCCAGAGTTTTCTATGCCCAGGCTAAATAGGCATGCTTCTCCCACCCGGGTTCCCTCAGCTGTTCTTGGAATCTCCCTGACTCATCTTCATGCTAGTGTGGGTGGTGGGACAGCGTGGCAGTTCTTGCAGCACCTGTCCCCAGGCCAGTCCTCAACAGGAGACTCATGGAGGCACTCCTGGTAGAGTGTGCATGTCTTGCAGCTGGTCAACCTGGCCTCTTTCTGTCCATCACAGGAATCAGCCTCCTCATCCCTCCGGACGCCATCCCCCGAGGAAAGATCTACGAGATCTACCTCACACTGCACAAGCCAGAGGACGTGAGGTGTGGGCTGAGTCCTGCTGCCGGGCGGGGAGGGTCCTGCTTGCTGCCTTCTATCTCTGGGACGCCCCTGCCCACTCATCCCTGTGCCTGGCCTGAGGGAGGGCAGAAGAGCCACACCCTAACCCACCAGGCTCTGTAGTCCTCAGCCCTGGGTGCTGCTGCCCTGCCCAAGGCCCGGCGCCCTGGCCCCTGGTCCCCAAACAGGCCACTGACTCCTTTCCCTCCCCACCCATATTTCCCCACTTGAGGTTGCCCCTAGCTGGCTGTCAGACCCTGCTGAGTCCCATCGTTAGCTGTGGGCCCCCCGGAGTCCTGCTCACCAGGCCCGTCATCCTCTCCATGGACCACTGTGGGGAGCCCAGCCCCGACAGCTGGAGCCTGCGCCTCAAGAAGCAGTCGTGTGAGGGCAGCTGGGAGGTGAGCAGAGATCAACCCCAGCCTGCCCACCCCCGGCGCTGGCCTCGTAGCCTCCTGCTGGCTCAGGCGAGGCCCTCAGCAGCCAGTTGGCCCTGAGCTACCTCCAGAGCCCTCCCTAGTCTCTGGCTACTTCTCAGAGCTGAGACTGGCCTAAGGGCTCCCAGATTGGGTAGAACTGACCATTGGGCCCACCCGCAGGATGTGCTGCACCTGGGCGAGGAGGCACCCTCCCACCTCTACTACTGCCAGCTGGAGGCCAGCGCCTGCTATGTCTTCACCGAGCAGCTGGGCCGCTTCGCCTTGGTGGGAGAGGCCCTCAGTGTGGCTGCTGCCAAGCGCCTCAAGCTGCTTCTGTTTGCCCCTGTGGCCTGCACCTCCCTCGAGTACAACATCCGAGTCTACTGCCTGCACGACACCCACGATGCACTCAAGGTAGGGCCCTCCCCCGGCTGCAGCCCTGTGGGCTGACTGCCCAGGGCTCTCAGCATGGAGTCCCTTGCTTCAGGGGCAGCAGAGAGGGGCTCTCCCAGCCCCCAGGCCCTGCTGATGGCCTGGACACTGCAGGAGGTGGTGCAGCTGGAGAAGCAACTGGGTGGACAGCTGATCCAGGAGCCTCGAATCCTGCACTTCAAGGACAGTTACCACAACCTGCGCCTGTCCATCCACGACGTCCCCAGCTCCCTATGGAAGAGCAAGCTCCTTGTCAGCTACCAGGTGAGGCAGAGCCCACTGCCAGCACTTGGGGGCTGCCACAGGGCACACCTGATGCCTGCTGTCTGCCTTCCCCCAGGAGATCCCCTTTTATCACATCTGGAATGGCTCGCAGCAGCACCTGCACTGCACCTTCACTTTGGAGCGCGTTAGCCCTAGCACCAGTGACCTGGCCTGCAAGGTGTGGGTGTGGCAGGTCGAGGGTGATGGACAGAGCTTCAACATCAACTTCAACATCACCAAGGTGGGCAGAAAGGACAATGTGCTCCCACCACCGTACCTCAGAAACACCTCCCGCACCTGCTCTGTCACCAGCCCCCCTCACTGTCCCCAGGCCCACCTCCTTCTAAAAACCACTTGGCGCCTTCCAAGTGTCCTGGGGTGAGAGGTTCACAGGCAAATGAAACTTGAAGAGTGGTGTCAAGCAGGGTGTGGGAGCAGGGCTGGGGGTGCTGCAGGGGTTCCCCCTGGGAAGGCTTGGTACCGGCCTTGAAGGTTAAGCAGGAGTTGACAAGCAGCAGGGTGGGGAAGGACATTTCCAGCAGCAGGAGCTGAGGAGGGAGGACTGAAGGCAGCAGGAGCAGTAAGTGCTGGGTGGTGGCAGGGCTGGCCGAGGACTCAAGGTAGGGGAAGGGGGCCAGAGAGTGCCTCTGCTCACTGGCTGAGACTTTGGGCAGGTTGTGCACCTTTGATCCCGGGGTCCCTCTGAAGTCCAGAGAATAGGGCTTGGCACCAAGTGAGGGGTGCTCAGGAAGCCCCAGTGCCCACGCCACCTCCATGTTCTGGGATGTCTGGGAGCTGCCCCAGCGGAGGTGGCAGTGAGAAGCATTCTAACACCATCTCCACCTCCTTCCCATCCCCAGGACACGAGGTTTGCTGAGCTTCTGGCTCTGGAGAGTGAAGGGGGGGTCCCAGCCCTGGTGGGCCCCAGTGCCTTCAAGATTCCCTTCCTCATTCGGCAGAAGATCATTACCAGCCTGGACCCGCCCTGCAGTCGGGGTGCCGATTGGCGGACTCTAGCCCAGAAACTCCACCTGGACAGGTGGGTGGGACCCGGGCAGGGAGGGGTTGTGGAGGCCCCCAGCAATCCAGGTGGGGCAGGCGGGGCAGGCGGGCGGCCTGCAGGGCCCTGCAACTTCCACCAGTGACTGGGGCAGTTACGGCATTTGGCTGAGGGGTGGTCCTGTCCTTGGTAGGCTGCGGTGTGAGGTGGCAGCCCGGGGTGAGGTCAGGCCACTGATGGGCTCTCCTCCTCTCTTCAGCCATCTCAGCTTCTTTGCCTCCAAGCCCAGCCCCACAGCCATGATCCTCAACCTGTGGGAGGCACGGCATTTCCCCAACGGCAACCTCAGCCAGCTGGCAGCGGCAGTGGCCGGACTGGGCCAGCCAGACGCTGGCCTCTTCACGGTGTCAGAGGCCGAGTGCTGAGACCAGCCAGGCCCATAACGCCTACATTCTCACCAGCTTTGGCACCTGCCAGGGACAGAAGCCGGACAGGGGCCCTACCCCCATACCAGGGAGAGCTGCTTGGACAGGCCCCCTCCTGGCCGAAGTTGTCCCTTAATGCTGGCCCTTCAGACCCTGCTCCAACTCCCATCCCTCCCTGGCCTGCCTGGCCAGCCTGGCCCAGCCACCTGCTCACACTATGCCTGGCCCCAGGGCCCAGGGTGGACAGTGCCTGGAGCCCAGGTTGGGCCCAGCCCATCTGTGTATGTGTGTGTGTGCGTGTGATGCTACCTCTCCTCCTGCCCCTCCCAGGGGCCCGCATACACATGGGCACACGTGTACACGCTGGGCTCAGAATGAGGCCCCTGGGGCTCCTGCCTGAGCTGGGCCTTATGCAAACATTTCTGTGCCTGCCGGGTAGGGGCACGCCTGAGGGGCCTGGCTCCATGCCTGCCGGACTGAGGACCCCAGCCAGACGGGCTGGCCCCTGGATTCAGGCACACAACCACCACACGGGCATGTGCCCATGCATGCCTTGTGTGCCCATCTCACATGCACCCCTTCCCGGGTCACGCAGACCCCACCACCACCACACGCATCTCATGCTGTACACCAGAGGTCGCTCACGTCTCACGCCTGGTGTCGGTACACATCTGCCTCACATGCTGCCCTTCTCCCACCCACCCAGGGACACCCGACGGCTCCTCCCTGACCCTTCCCCTGATCCCAGCCTCGAGGTGCCCTGCCCGGCGGGGCGTGTGAATATGCAATGGGAGTCCCGGGCTGTACAATGGCGAGTGTGTGTGCTGTGGCGTGCCCGTTCCTAGGGCTGGCCGGTGCCCCCATGTGGGGCCTGTCGTGTGAAGCTTGTGTCCTGACTCTGTCTTAAGTGCATTCATGCACTTACACTTGGCCTTATGTACACAGCCTTGCCCGGCCGCCGGGGCGCATAGGGATTTTAGCGGACGTGAATGTAAATAAATTATATATATATATTGCTAATCCATGTGCTACCTCTCTTGGGAAAAGCTATCGGGGAGGGTAGATGGCCACAGAGGTATCATACATGGACTATTCTGAGAGTCTCTGGTGGCTGGTCTGGCTTGGAGACGGGCTAGGTCCAGGCCCTGGTCTGGCAAGAGTAGGGCTGAGATCCCAGGGTTCCTGTAGATTTCTTCAGACACGGGTCTTCTGAGCAAGGCGACAGGCAACAGCAGTGACCAAAGCTGCACCTTTGCCAGATCCATCCTCTGACTGCAGGAAAGTGACTTTACAGCGAGGGGCCAGTTCCCTTACTGTGGCCGCCACCAGGCTGGAGAAGCTGTGAAGAGAAGGAGCTGAGATGAGCCCGAGGCCAGCCCAGCCCCGCAGCCATGCTTCCCTGCCTGGCTCATGCACCCAAACTCACTGGGGATGCAGCTTGTAGAGGGTCCCATCCACCCCCACGGAGATTGTCAATTCCTCCAGGCCACGGTTCTCCYGGATCTTCTCCACCACGGCAGCTACACCTGCCCCACAGAGTTGAGCAGCTCTCCGGGACACAGCCTGGCACACCTCTAGGACCATCAGGGCATCGTCTGAGGTCAGGGGCAGCCCCAGATCCTCCAGGATGGCTCGGACCTGTCGCAGAGCCAGGCTGTCGCTGGGGGACAGAAGAATAAAGCGCAGAGGTGGGATCCTGCATTAGCTCCCCCTCTCTCAAGATTTTTCCCACCTCATCCTCCAGAGAGGACCCAACCATCACCAGCAGGCAGCATTCCCCCACAGTGGACGGATAGACTCCTTTGGGGAGTAGGAAGCCAATGCTGGCCTTGGGTACCTTTCAATCTCAGAGAGAAACTTGGTCTTGAAGATGTCCCTAGTCTGAAGGCACTGGGTCTGCTGGCCTCGGAAGAGAACTCCAAGGCTGGTCAAATGCAAGAGGATGTGGCGGACAATCTCCCCCAGGTACATACCACTGATCATCTTCTCAAATCTGCATGAACATGTGTGTGTCTGCCTGGGACAGGAGGGCCTGGCAGCTCCTGTCCCCAGAGCCTGCCACTGCCAGCCATCACTGCCCAGGCCCAGCCCGCACCTCTGCTTGCCAGGATTGATGGACGCCTGGTCCACACTCTCATCAAAGCAGGTGCTGAGCATGCCCAGTGAGCCATCATCCCCAAAGGCTCCCCACTCCATGTTGATGCACATTTGGCCTGACTCGTCAGCCATGTCCACCACATTTGGGAGCTCTTCCATGTAGCAGGCATTGGTTCCAGTTCCTGCAGAGAAGCCAGATGGGGTGGAAAACACTTTTTGATGCAGACAAAACCCCTCTGAGCCCTTCTCACACCAAAATGACAAAATTCGTGCTCCCTCCTTACTTCTCCATCTTCCCACATTCAAAACCTGTCCTAGTCCTCTTCCTTCCTTCCTGACATCCACAGTGCAGATCCTGTCTGCACCAAGCACTTGGGGCCTCCACTACCTCCCCTACGATCAGGGCATCTGCCATGCTGCCCAAAAGTGCCCCTGCAAGGTCCATCAGTCACATTATTCCCCTGGGAGATGTGATGGCCCACTGCCATCAGCTGGTAAGAGGCTAGAGAGCTCCCTAGTCTTGGCTTTCTAGACCCCCAGTCAACTAACTGGTACTGGGCCAGGCCAGGAACATACAGGGGAATCCAACACAAGGAACCCCACCATCTGGCCATAAGTTGGATAATGAATGGCCATCTCTGATGGACATCTACAGGCCCTAAGTAGAAGTACAAAAGGATGACATCATAGGAGTCCTGGAACTCAGGGTAGGTCTTGCTGCCTACAAGGTAAAGAAAAGCTACAGAGAGAAATCAATGTCTAAATTGGGCTTTGAAGCCAAGAGGCATGGAGAGGGAAAGGCATTCCAGGCAGGAGGCACAGCATGGCCAAAGGCATTTCCCCTCTCTCCCTCCATATTTCAACCCTGGGAAGATGGGCTTCTTGCCACCTGGAATTCCTCTATCCAGTAGATTATTCCCATAGCCACATGGATACACCTCTCCTGAGCGCCTGCAGGTGCCAGGCCCTGTGTTCAAGAAGCTCCAGTCCATGGGAAGCTGCTGTGTGTCTTGCACTCTAAGAGACTCTTAAGGAGCTTGGGGAGCCCTCCTTTCCTTCAAGACTTGCAAGTCCCACCTGTCTCAGGGCCCACTTCTTTCTGATCTTGGCCTTGTACCCACCCATGTGTAGAGTTAGAATCAGTTCTCTCTCACCCATGGGCTGTTCTATGCTCAACCCCACAGGATGGTCAATTCTGAAAATGCAGAATTTCCTTCGTTTATATGTGCTTTGATTCCAGCTGGCCTCAGTGTAGGTGCTTAATAAAGATATTGAATCTTAGACTGTCTGAAAGACCCATATAGCTCATGGGTCCCTCCCTCATGCTCCTTGCCAGTTCCAGAATTGAGTATGCAGTACAAGTCAGGCATTGGGCACACTCCCCCCCCCATCCTGTATTTCATCTTCACTATTATTAGAGGCACTATTATCTGCTTTATACAATAAGAAAACTGAGGGTCTAGTGACTTGCCCAAGGTCAAAAGGTAGAAGTGACAAAACTACTATTTTCACCCAAATCTATATGACTCCAAAGCAGAGATTCATGATAAATGAATCTGCCCATCTGATAAAGATGGGCAAACTGAGGCTTAGAAATATTTAATGACTGTGTCAGTAACTAAGGTGGATGAAATACTCTAACTCCAGACTCCCAGCCCTATACAGTATCCCAGGACCCCACTGGATCAGACAGGAACAATTCTTTATCCCCAGGGCCAAGGGAACATCCAACCCAAGGAATCAACAGGAGGCAGCAAATTATCAAGCAGTAGGGGCACAAAAGGGCAGGACCCTCCTCACCGACAATGAGGCCTATCTCGCAACGGGGATCCTCATAGCCACAGGACATCATGGTCCCCACCGTGTCATTGACAATGGCAACAACATTCAGCTCCACTGCCTGCACACAAAAGGATGCTGCTAGTTGCTGGGCAACGCGGTCGTCACGGCAACCAGCACTGGACCCAGAGGTCTCTATTGCAGAGGACCCCCCTCTCAGAAAGCAAGAGACCATTGCTCCCTTCAAGGCCTCCTGCAGCCCAAAGCACCCCTCGGGGCAGGCTCTTACCTGTCTGCGTTTGATGGCTTCCCGCAGCAGATGCACAACATCATGGCCCTCACAGTCTGATGCATTGAAACCCTTAGTCCAGTTTAGAAGGATGCCCTGAGGTAGGACCAAGAAGAGACGGGAAACTGGAGGTCCCTTCACTCTGCCTCCCCAAAGCCATCATCCCAACAAAAGCTACAATTTCTGCTAGTTTCCTTGACCACTTTGCCCTATGGTCAAAAGCCTTGACTTCTTCTCCCTCCCAACTCCCCAAGAGGATTTCAGTGTGAAAAAACCTATTAATAGTGATTTGACCTACATCTTTCATTATTAGTTCTAGAACTCACAGACAGTCTGAGGGTCTGGCCATTTTAAGACATTTGCCAGAAGGAATGGCCCTTTATAACTGAATCAGGACTAAACAGAACTGGTAAAGTGAGTGCTGTGGGTGAGAAAGAGGACAGAGAAAGCTCAGAAGCTCAAATGCCAGCAGATCCCACCTTCTCTGAGAGAAATCAAAAGTCACTCGAAAGGAAGGAATACTCAGAGTTAGGGATGGAACTGTGTCAATGTCAGATTCACTCGTTTGTCCCAGTTATGGGTAAAGGACAAATGGAAAATCGAGACACTTGGACAGGATGAGGGGGGCAAGACAGACACACTTTTATTGTGAGGAACTGGACTTAGATTAGTGACAGGGAACTGGACTGTACCTGAAGAGGTTTGTTCTTAGCCCCCTCTGAGGGAGGGGCAGGAGGAGTGAGTAAGGCCAGTGCCATCAGGGGAAAATGACTACTCTGCCCAAAGAAGGAGGCAGGGCTGGGAATTTTGGGAGCAGATTCTATTATTTTGTTTTGTTTTTATGAGATGGGGGTCTCACTATGTTGATCCCTAGGCTGGCCAGGAACTCCTAACTCAAGGGAGCCTCCCATCTCAGACTCTGGAGTAGCTGAATCTGCAGGCACACGCCCCCACTCCCTGCTAGTCCAGTGGATTTCAGAAATAGTGAACAACATTTCCCCCCAGTCACATTGCCTTATGTCCCTTTCCCCACTGTACAGCAGTGAGACACCGTGTGCTCATTGTCTCAAAAACACAAACCAGAGAGTATGAGAGACTAGAGGGAGAAGCAGTTTGAGAGAGACCAAATGATGGGAAATAATAGTTTCCCTGCCCCAGACAAGATGGACCCCCTGTCTGGGGAAGTGGAGGCAGAGGGGAACTCCGACCCAGATTTTTGATGGTTTCCTGAGAAAGGTGTCATATGCCCCCCATCCTGAACTAAACTTGTGTGGTGGGGTAGGGGAGAGACAGAAAGGATTTGAGTGTCCTGAGAACAGAAGAGGCTTCAATCTTCATTCTCCAAGTAAAGCCTAGGGAAGTATTAAGATTCAAGAGAAGTCTGGGCATGGTGGCACAGGCCTGTAACCCCAGTGGCTTGGGAGGCTGAGGCAGGAGGACTGCGAGTTCAAAGCTAGCCTTAGCAACAGACTTAGTGAGGCTCTAAGCAACTTGGCAAGATCCTGTCTCTAAATAAAAAATTAAAAGGGCTGGGGATGTGACTCAGTGGTTAAGTGCCCTTGGATTTAAATACCTGGTACAAAAAAAAAAAAAAAAAAAAGACTTAAGACAGAAATTGGCAGAAGGAGATTCCCAGAGAGCTGGGACCTGGGCTTCTCTGAGTTTCCCCATGTCTGTAAATTTTGCACAGCAAAGGCTGCTATGGAGCTAAGAGCAGAACCTACCTTGGGAAGGAGATCCCCACATTGACTAACACTAAGTTTTAACTTCTCAAAAGAATGTGGGCTCCACACAAAGTAAAGTTCAGTTATAGAAATTAATCAAACTGTACTGGGCATGGTGGCACATGCCTGTAATCCCAGTGGCTTGGGAGGCTGAGGCAGGAGGGTCGCGAGTTCAAAGCCAGCCTCAGCAAAAGCGAGATGCTAAGCAACTCAGTGAGACCTTGTCTCTAAATAAAATACAAAATAGGGCTAGGGATGTGGCTCAGTGGTGAAGTTCCCCTTAGTTCAATCCTCAGTACCACACAAAAAGATTAAAAAAAAAAAAAAAGAAAGAAAGAAATGTATCAAACCATGTTTCTTACATGCCTGGGTTTATACCTGAGTCATACCTGCTTCTCACACCTTGCAAAGAATAATCAAAAGTAGCAAGCATGCTTAGCCTGGAGCCCAGCAGACCAGTCGAGAGATGGCAGCAGATTGTGCTGCTGTCGTACATGTGGAAGGACACACTGCGGTGTGTTCTGGGTGGGGATGCTGGGTCTAGACTTGTGCCTGTTACTCTGCCACCCCCCTCTAGCACCACCCCCACCCTACACACGGCCCTTTCCCTGGCTCATACACACTCTATGACGGATGTACGGGTAGGAACCCCTTGGGGATCACTTTTCCTGGCCCTCACTCCCTCACCTGGTCCAGGCCAACCTGCTTGCATGGGAAGGAGAAAGTGAAACCCAGGGGGAGGCTCTGTCCACTCATGCCCTGCCTCTGCTGGAAGTCCACGATGCAGTCCACGATGTGGTCAAAGAGCTGCAGGGTGTGGCAGGTCAAGACGTGGGCTCCACCCGTGCCCCCCCCCCCCGCCCCAACCCTCTGATGGGGCCTGCTGCGAGTACCTGCTGCCCAGAGCCCTGGGCCACACACTCAGGGATGGAGTAAACCTGGTTGATGATCTGCACACCTCCCTCTGTCAAACGCACCAGGAGGACCCGGAAGTTGGTGCCCCCCAGGTCCAAAGCCAGAAAGTCTCCTCGCTCTGTGGGACAGAGACACTCAGTACCAACACAGTGCTGGCAGCTCCAGCCCCAGCAGACTCTGTGACTCCCAGACCCACACTCAGGCCAAGTCCTTACCGCTGCCATCAGGTGTGGCTCGCACGTAAGTGGGTAGCATACGGAGAGAGGAAGCCTCCCCTCGGAGCCCCTTGGCCATGGCCTCCCGCATCTGTGCTTGCACGGCTTTCAGCTGCTCCAGGTTCAACCGGAAAGGTGCCAGGGTCTCCTCCAGCAGGCGCCGGTGGGCGGCCAAGCGGGCAGCCACAGCTGTCACCATTGCCACACCCCGGCCACCTCCATCCACAGAGGGGATAAAGGAGACATCACATTCCGGGACCAAGAGCATCACTGTTTCCTGCAAAATGCTGTGGAACCTACACAGACATACACCAGGTGCACCCAGCTTGATATCTGAGCCCTTTGCTGAAGCCCTGGGCCCTATAATTTTAAATCAACTCAATCCTAAATCAGTTCTGTGCACCAACAATACATCTAAGTGTCCCCAGTGACCCCCCTCCATGGCACAAGCAAAAAGAAACATTTTTTCTCTTGTTGGCTGTCTCCTGGCCTCCCACAGCCCAGTCTGGCCTTCACTCTGCTTAGGTGCCATTCATATCCACTGGCTTACACATGTGATCCCAGGTGCCCTCTGGGTGTCTATCATAAACACAGGCATGTTCAGGCTATGTGTCCATATTCTCACAGTACCTGAGGTGCTGCTCAAACACTTGACCTCCTGTGGCCACAGCAACCTGGAGGGTCTGCTGCTCCCGGCTGTGCTGCAGACGGGACAGGACTGCAGCCAGGGCCGCTGCACAAAGCTGGGCAGCCCGCGTGCACACGGCCACGCACACACGCTGCACAAACTCAGCATCTGAAGCCTCCAGGCTCAGGCCCAGGTCCTGCAGGATTGTGTGGACACGGGCTGCCCCAGTGGAGGGGCTGGGGCAGGTAGACAGGATAATTGTTTGGGGCTCAGACAGCCCAGTAGCTCCCCATCCCACAAAATCCCCATGGCCACCTCCTGTTTCCCAACCTGAGAATCCCCTTGCCTGAGCTGCCAGCCTCCCCCACTTACTCCTCCATCTCAGCCACATGCTCCAGACGGATGCTGCCTTGGCTCAGCAAAGCAGGAGAGGTACAGCCACCAAAGAGGACGCCACGACGGGCCAAGTGGGCCAGCACCAGTCGCACCAGCTCACCCAGGTATAAGCCCCCAATCATCTTTTCAAACCTGCAAGTGGAAAGGGTAGCTGGACAGCCCTGCTGAAGCCCTCAACCTACCTGGCTCCACCTCCAAAAGCCCCCAAAGAGGAGTCACTTTCTATACCGAAACCCCCAACTGGAGGCTCCCAACTGGAACCTCCCAGAGGACAGAGCATGTTGCCCCCTCTGACTTAGGGTAAGTTCACGGGCCTCCTGGAGGCACAGCAGGATCTAAAGAAGGCAAGGCACACCTGACTCAGCTATTCTGAACCCCCAACATCAGCCATCTATCAGGGCTGATGAGAGTCAGGAATAAAGGAGTGTCCAGGGTTGAAAACTCTGGGTTCTAGAACCTTGAGGCCTTTCTTCTTTGAACCTTGCCAGGATCCCCCAGGGTGCAACTGGGAACCTTCAGAGTAAGAGGGAGGAGTGGTAAGGGCCTGAGTGCAGGGATAGCAGAAGAGGTGGGTCAGAGCAGCGATAAGGCCTAGACCAGGGTCAGGACCCCCTGCTAGGTCACCTCTGGGCACCAGGATTCAGGGACTCCTGATCCAAGGCATGGTCGAAGGTGGTCATCACTGGCCCCAGGGCCCCATGATCGTTGAAGGATCCCCATTCAATGCTGACGCAGGTGCGGCCCCGGTCCTCATCCAATACGGCCACGTGCCTCGCCTCCTCCATGTAACATGCATTGGTGCCAGTGTCTGGCAGGGATAGCTCCATCAGGTCCTGCCCGCCAGGCAGCCACACCCACCACCCCTCATCTAAAAAGGTCTGTGGCTCACCTACGATGAGCCCAATCTCACATGGCCGGGTGCCTGGCTCACAGCCCATCATGGTGCCCACTGTGTCGTTCACCACAGCAACCACGTCAATGCTGTAGGCCTGGGCAGTGGACAGGGCAAAGTTGGGACTGGCCTAATAGCCAGAGTGGGATCCCTGGGGCAGGGCTTTGATGGAGACATCCAAAGTCCATGAAACGCAAGTGTTTGCATTCCCAAACACAGCATCCAGGGCCCCTATAAAAGGTTTTCCTCCCATCCCATCTTCAGCTCCTCCCTTCCCCAAATCAGGCCTCAAGGTCATGGGTTCCCACCTTCAGTCATCACATCCAGAGCTCCTCAAGATGACGGTCTCAAGACTGAGCCCTGCTTAGGGTTGCTCTCCTCACCTGCATCCTGGCCTAGCTCCCCAGGCCCTAGTTACTGCTTGCTCTAACACTTTGGACTGTGCCCACCTTTGAACTAGATCCTTTTCCTCAGCCTCACCATAAACACTAGGCAAATTTTTCCTTCAAGTGCCTGCTCCCTCCGCAGTCAGAACACAGAGACAATCTTTTATTAGAATGTGACACAGGTAGACTGTAAGAACCTTGAGGACAAAATCACAGTTTTCATTTTTTGTCCAGTACCACCACCAGGGCCCTGAACATTTCTTTAGCCCAAGTTACCTTGCTTATACAATGGGAATGGTGGCAACCAGGGTTAAACCAGATAAAAGCAGTGAGCAGGAAAGAAAGGCAGGACCTTTCTGAAGCACAGGCACAGCCCATAGATGCAAGCCCAGGCCAGCCAGGGCCGCCATCCCATCACCTCTACTTCCACTCACCCCCTGCCTCTGAATGGCATCTCTCAGCAACTGGACCACATCCTGGCCTTCCACACCACTGCACCTAAAACCTTTGGTCCAGGAAATGAGGGTGCTCTGGGAGGCAGAGAAGTGGAATCAATCCTCTAGTGGTTTTCATGATGCTGCAGTCCCTCTCCACACACTATTCCCAGGCCTGCTCCACCTCACCTTGTCCAGGCCTGTTTGGTGGCAAGGGAAGGAGAAGCTGAACCCAAGCTGCAGGCCCCGATTTCCCACGGGGTGTGCATCCAGGAACTCAGACAAGCAGCAGGCGGCAAAGTCAAAGAGCTGTGAGACAAGGAGTCAGGGCACTTAGCTCTGCCCACCTGAGCCCCAGCCACCCAACCGGGCCCAGGTCCTAAAGGCTGGCATTGATACTCACTTGCTGGCCAGTGCCCAGTACCACCTCTTCAGGAATCATGAACTCCTGGCTCCTGGGCTCCACCCTATGCCCCTCGATGCCCGTCAGAGTCACCCACAAGACTCGCAGTGAGGCCCCTGTGGCCCCTAGCTCCAGCACCAGAAAGTCTCCTTGTTCTAGGGGGCAAGCAGGTCATAGAAAGCCATGTAGCCAGCAAGATCGGTGCCCTCTGCCTCCCAGAAAAATTCCCAAGGCCTGCAAAATCTGGATAAAGGGAACTTAGAGATGGAACACAGGGATAAGATCAGTATTCTCTTCCAAGCCTGGTCACTCATGTTAGTCTAATGCCACCCACCAGTGCCATGTGGGGTAGACCCCACATATGTGGGCAGCATCCGGACAGCAGGAGCAGGGCTGTCCTGTCCCTTCAATGCCTGCTCCATGGAATCCAGGAGGCTGGCTTGGATCTGCTGCAGCTGTGTCCTTGTCACCTTGAATTGCTGTAGACATTCCTGTACCTGGGGAGAAACAAGCCAACATCTGGAAGGAAACCCTGTTGCACTGGCCAGATTCTCCAACAGGAGCAGAGGCCTGCCTTGCTCATCTCGCACGTGTCTTTCAGTCCTTCAGCTTCCCAAGGGGCTGGCTTGGACCCTGTCCCCAAACCCCTCTGAACTTTGTTACTCTAGCACCCGCCCATCCTACTCCTTGCCTCTTCATACACTGACTCTTATGGCCTACACCCAGCTCCTGTGTCCTCAGAAAATTCTGCTTAGGAGAGAGAAACCACCCACCTCCTCCTGCTCCTTGTCCTGGTGGTTTCCTCTCAGCTCCAACATCCTCTTCCCTGCCTGTCTACTCATTTGGATGCAGGGTTTGGAAAGACCTCCCTCTTGTCACTATGACTGATTGCCCTCTGGCCCCCCAGTATCCAGAGCAAAAGCCTATGAACAAATGTGTGAACAAATATCAAGTGTTTGCCTTTCCTAACCCATTCTCATACTCTAGAGCCAGAACAAGCTCAGCACAGGAGAGTTTGGAGACCACGGGAGATGGTCTTCCCTTCATCAGTAATCCTTCCCAACATATCAACCAAGGCCAGCACTACTCTAAGCACCATACACCACATAACTAACCAAGTCCTGCTCTTGTAGAGCTCTGATTCCAGAATGAAAGACAGAAAGTAAGTAAATAGTAATATGATTGTGGTAGTTTAATAGTTTAGTGGATATTAAGGGGGAGGGGAGCAGGATTGGAAGATCGAGAATGACTGGGGAGGAAAAGATCTCTTTAGATATGAATCCAGGAAGGCCTCTTTGAGGAGGAAACCTAAATGAAGGCTAGAACAAGCCATATGAAGATCTGAAGGATGAGCACAAATGGGCTTTCTCTAGAGTAAGTGATGGATTTGGGGGAAGACCAGGAGTGGATTGGAGCCTGAAAGGAGGGCTGAGCAGGCAGGGGAAGGCAGAGGATGTGACACCCCAGGTTCCCACTCCTCCAAAAGGAAGAGCCCCAGGAGCCCCAGCTCTGTGTGCAAAAACCTCTGCTGGATTAATTTCTTGAGACTGGGAAACAGAGTTCATGAGGAAGAAAATATCCTAACTGGAGGGCTCCATGACATTGGTATGTGGCAGCTGCCAGCAACCACACATGCTTGGAAAGTTTACTCCTATGTTACAAATGAGGAAACTGAGGCTCAGAGAGGGCAAGTCATCTGCCTAGCCAGAGAAGGATATGAAGGAGCAGGGTGGATTGTGAACCCAGGTCACATGAACTATAGAGATGTTTCTATATCAATGTGAAGACTTGTAAAGACTAGCAACCACCCCTGAAAAGAATTTAAGGCAGGAAGAATACCCCAAACAAAAGAAAACTTAATCAGAGTCCTTGCCCTGCCCCTTTTCAGCCATGTAATCCTGGGAAAGGCACACTCTTTGTGAGCCTCAGTCAACTCTTAGGAGAAACAGAAAATACAATATTCCTAAGTCCCGTGGTGTGGAGGACTATGTCTGTTCATGGCTCTCAGGGCCATGCCAAACAGGCTCTTGGGATTTGTTGATTGAATGGTTGTGACATGAGATAAATGGGAACAATGTTTGTGAAAGTGTAAAATGCCATTCAAATGGGAGAGGAGACAACTGTGGAGTTATGGAGAAGTCAATGCTTGGGCAAATTTATTTTTCTCCTGGGTACAATAAGGTTCAAGTGGAGAGACTAGGAGATGACCAAAGCCACAAGAAAGAACTTCTCTGGCACTCTGGTGGGGTGCACACCAGCCTGGAGAAACTTCTGGAGCCTCCCCTCCTATCCTATCCTTGGTTAGGAAGCAAGGAGCAAAGCATTAGATAGCCTGTGAAGTCCGTATGGCTTCCATGCTGGCTCCTTTAATTAACTCACGTGTTAGTGAGGAGCCATCACCTCACTTCTCTGAGCAAGTTACCTCCTCTATCAGGCAAGAACAAGAATAGTACCCGCTTCTCAAAGAATGCTGTGAGGACAAGATTACAGATGGGCAGCAATGGAGCAGTGTCCGACACAAAAGAAATGCCTGGGGAATGTGGGTTCCCTTTCTTCAGAGCATGAGGTACAGCTAGCCTAGAGGATCTGAATCTAGACCTTCTCTAGTTACAAAAAAAGACTTTGGGGAAGGGTCTGGGAAGGGTCTATGAGACAAGTAATTAACTTTTTCTCAACCTAAGGCTGTGGGCAGGGAGTCCAGGGTGAGACCTGGGTGCTGAGTAGGAGTCCCTGTGAAGTTCCCCAAAGCCAAAGGGAATTACAGGTGCAGAGGCAGAGGGCAGATGTGGGATATGCATAGGAGGGAGGGGTGAAAAGGGAGTCGATGGCAGGCCCTAAAACAAGCCCTAGAGAGCAGTCATTGCTCATTCCTGCGACCCAGCTATGGGTTGGACACAGAGGAAATGTTTACAGCAGAGTCTAGGGTAAAAGTTGGACAAGAGAGGAGGGGGAACATGAAATGCAGTGAGGGGTGATGTCTTCACAGTTGGACAAGAAGCCTAGTGAGTAGATCTTAGAAGGAGTCAGAAAACTTCAGAAACATGGGTGCCTCCGCTGCGCAGGTCCTTTATCTCCATGAGCTCATTTAACCATTCAGGAAGTGGAGAACATTCAGCTTTATTCTCCTTCATTTTACTGATGAAGAAACAAACCAAGGTATATGAAACGATTTACATAAGTGTTTCCGGCTCAAGGGTGTGGTAGGCAAGAGCTTATGAGTCTTGGTCAGATGGTGGGGAAAAAAAAGAGAAATTCACTTCTGAACAAACCTTGGCCATATGGACTATGCCACATAATAACTTCCACATTCAGTTCAGCACTACAATCAACCCTGGGTGTGAGGACAGAGACATGTGCAGGTGTGACTGGAGGAGTGGAAAGGGCTCAAGAATACAGCAATTTACAAGAAACTCCTGGCAGGGCCCATTTTGGATGTATGGACTCACTTGGGGTAKGGACGGTACCCATGTGGAAAGGTGGCAAAAGCAATACTTCTGGAGCTGACACGCCTCAGCTCAAGCTCCTGTCAGGCCTTAAACTCGAGTCATTTCACCTGTCTAAGCCTGTGAGCTAATCTTGCAGTTATTTGGAGCCTCAAAAGAAAGAGGTACTGGGTTGGAGAAAACAGCTTGGTAAACTGGAAAGAGGTCACACAGGTGTGATCTCCAGTCTTCCTGCTCTTCACATCCTTGGAATAAGCATGAAACAGGCCCCCAGCACTGAACTTACCAGCTCTGAGCTGTCTGAGGGCAGGGGTAACCCCTCCTGGGGACAGCCCAGGGCTCTTTCCCCAGGCTGCAACCCAGCAGGCCCAATGGAGTCCATGTGATTCCACAATGGGAGTGGGTCACCTACAGGAGAAAAGGGACAGCCAGGGTCAACCACATAATCTTTAGGCCCTAGGAGGCTGTAACTCAGACCTTCAACTCCCTTCCTTCTGAAAGGGACCAAGGAGGAGATTGTGGGCAGAATTCAGAAACTCTGATTATCAAAGATCCTTTAGCAATTAACCAGAAGGCAGTTATTTTCCAGAAGCATGTGTTAACAAGAGAGATTGGGAAGCTGATTTCATGTTCAATTGTCATTTGTTTATTCTGTCATTCATTTATATCCGGCGGCCTTCTGTGCAGGATGCTGGGGTGTAGATGAAGTAGATGCAGGCCCTATCCTCAGAGAACTCACAGCCTTACCAACAATCACAGCAGGGCTGGCACAGACTGTGGTATAGATGGACACATGTACTTAATGGTTGAACATGCTGCTATGATTGGAAGGTCAGGGATGTGCTAGAGGTCAAACGGTGTGAGAGACCAAAGATCTGCCAAAGAAGCAGCCAGGCTGGACTGTGGATAGCCTTCAAGCCAGTCTAGGACGTGTGAATTTCATCTTGAAGGTGACAAGGAGACACAGAAAAGGGTCTGTACTTTGGAAACTGAATCTGTGCTTTAGAAAGCAGCTCCCCTGATGGTATGACTTTGGACAAGTCATTTATGACTTAGAATTTTGGCTGCATCATCTGTAAAGCAATAATATTTACCCTTGCAAGGCTGTTATGAACACAAAATGGAATAAAACCTGGGGAAATGCTTTGTGAAATGTAGGGTTACAGAACTGAGAAAACCCTGGACTGAGAGCCCAGGACCTGACTCTCCACGAGGACATGGCACCAGGTGTCCCAACATCAAGGCCACATTTTCTTTTTCTGTGAAATGGGGACTAACATGGAACCAAAATGTCAAAGTGCTATGTGGGGAAAATGAGACAATGAGAGCAGAAGATCCTTGCTTGGAGTGCACATCCAGATTTATTTAACCAAATCTGAAACCCTATGAGCCTCAATTTCCTCTTTGATACCATGGGAAAAAAAACTATGTTCTTCTGAGGATTAAAGGAGTTCATGTACCAGTGATTCAGGTACCCTTCAGGGTGGAGGAGAGGAGAAGCAGAGGAGGATCCAAGAGGGCCACAAGGCTTCTGTCCACTGAGCACTCTACCTCGAAACAGCAAAACTTCTGGAAACATAGTACCTTCCCACTACTGCAACTCCTTCTTACCTTCAAGCCCCATACTCCTATGAATTTGCCCTCTATGTGGTTAACTAAAACCTAATTTGACAAACCCAAACCCCTTCCCTCAGTGCATTTGCTGCTGTGTTCTCCCCTTCTTTGGCTCTAGCAGCCAGTCTCTCCTGGGTCTGCCTTTAAACAGTGGGGTTCCCAAGCCTCTGATCATGCATGCCTTTCTTCACAATCCCTCTTTATCTCACTCATCCCCAAAGTTGAGTAAAACCTATGCAGGGATCCCAAAATCCCTGACCTGAGCCCAATCCTATATGCCAGTGGTCTGTTAGATCTCACTACCTGGGTGCTGGAGAGACTCTTTAAGCTCAAAAATCAAAACTAATGTGTTTTCCTACTTTTCACCACTGAACTCCTGTCCTCCCCCTTGGCTGGAAGCATCAAGAGGTTTGCTCATTTACACCAACCATTTGGGTTGCTGGTATACGTGCCTTGCCACCTGTGTGTGCTTGATCTTGGACTCTGGGAAAAGAGCTCTTCCAGTGTCCTCTCCTCCCTACCCCCACAACCACTGTCTGATTGTTCTAACAGCCTCTTAAGTAATACTTCTGCTTCTAGTCTACTCATCTTCTTGCCCAACTTGCAGCACATCACCAGCAACTGTCATTTAAGGGAAGTTCTGTCTCCCTTAGAAAAGAAAGCAAATATTCATACTATGATGGCTTCCACTGCAGTAGGGAAAGTCCAGAATTCTTTATGGTGGCATTGCGAGCCTTTCACAAACCCTCAACCTAAATTTCCTCTTGCTTATTCTGCTCCAAAAACCAGCCACATGGACTACAAGCTCCCTAACTCTTGCTTGGCAGGCTTTGTTCAAATTGTTTCCCAAGTTTGGAGAGTTAAACCCTACAATATCTGAGTCTGCATCTTCAATGCTAGCACATGTTTGGGCATAGGATGTGCTAACACAACTTTATAAAATTGGAAGCAGAAGAAGAGGTTTTTATTTGGTGAACCAGAAGTCAGTTTCTGACAAATCTCCCCCAAATCACATGTACCTACATCCAGTTTCCAAATCTCTCAAATGGGACTATAGCATGTTCATTCTATAAATGTTATAATGTGTTTTAACAATAAAGTGAGGTAACTGTGGCAATTAATTACCTTTGGAAAGGGTTGAAGGCTACACGACATTCTCAGTTAAAGGTCCATCTAGCTCAATCATTCACTCACTCATTCAACATTTATTCATCATATGCCAAACTATGAAATTTCCCCCCTTAACTCTAGTATTAAACTCTATCTCCTGTGGGGAAGGACAAGTCTCCTTCAATACTGTACCCCAGAACCCAGCCCAGGGTCTGCAAATTTGAACCAAGGGCTTCTTGGCTTCCCTTAACTGAATCAGCTACATTGAGAGACCATTCCTTCTAAAAGGTAACTCAACTGAGGGTGGGAGTGGCCCTCACCATTGAGACCAGTGGCTTAGCCTTTTGAGCTTCTACTTACCTCTTGGTGTGGGCCAAGCAGAAGGGATGAGGATAATAGGGCTGGGAAGCAGCAAGCCAGAATCACAGGAAGCACTCACCTGGGAGATACAGCAGTTGATTACCCTCCTCAGGGCTAAGCTCTTTTCTCAATGTGAGGCACACAGTGACCTGGTCTGTGTTCAAAAGTGAAACTCAGGGTGACCCAAGTTATAATGTCCCCAAGCCCCGCCCTTCCCCTCAGCTACTGCTTACCAGACATCCACTAATTCAGGAAGGTCAACTTCCTTCCCAGTTTGCTCTAAGAGGAACCCAGGGTAGTTAGGGCTATGGTGCAAAGTAAAGTAAGATGACCACAGGATGCTGGAACTGTGAATGGACTCAAGGATCCTGTGACATCCCTACTGCAATGCTAGGAATTCTGCTCCTTTTATAAACACTTCAGAGTTTTGAGGTGGTAGCTCATCCCTGGAAAGGAGTGGGAGCTTAGCCTGGGAAATATGCAGTGTAATAAACAGCTTTAAAAAATGTKGTAAGAGGCAATGTAGAAACACAAGAGGAAGGGACTGACAGTGAATGAGTGCTGGGCAGGCTGTGGAAGCCAAGTCTTGAAGAAAGAACAGTGTGCTGGCAGAGGGGGTCCTTTCACAAAGAGGAGCGCATACCTGCAATCACGGGTCACATACACACAGGTGCCTTCATGGAACTGTGTGCAGCTCCCAGGGCCTACAGGGGATATATGGTGGGAGAAGAGGTGACAGCCAGCCTGAGGAATCTAGCCTTTGTCTTAAATGGGGAGATTAGGCTCACACCATGCGTCTTTTTACTGGAAGGAGAAGCAAAGTCTAAGGCTTCTAAGGCTGCTGGCCACCAAGCTGTTTTTCCGTTGAACTAGTCCTGAATGCACAGAACCCTGGGGCACCACTGTAGGAGACTAAGCACACTGCAACAATCTGTGTTTCAGGAAAATTGGTGGACACTTTACCACTACCTCATCAGCAGTTCCCTACTGTATAGGACAAGGCTTCCACATGACACTAGATGAACACCAGGGACAGTGACTTTTCTATCAGCTTTTACACAATTAGGTCTGGAAGCATGGCAGACATCAGCCCTGCTGTAGTACACTGTGTACCAACCAGGCTCTAAAAGGCAATGGAAGTGGAGGATGCACTGGGGAAGGCAGAGTGGCTGTCACCCACAAAAACAGCATTCTCCCTAGCCTGAGCTTCCCATTTCTCAACTTAGTTTAGTTGAATGCAAAAAGCTCTAGCTGTGATTTATGCTGACAACAGCATTTGTACCTTTTCCCCCTGCTGCATTGGGAGATTAAACCCAGGGCCTAACATTTGCACTCTTGAGCCAGGGTAAGGACACACATGACAAGCATTACCAGAACTCCTGCCAGTGTAAGTGCCGTGCCTATTTCACCAGGCAGTGGGTGTCCTGATCTCTAGTTGTAGTGCCAAGGAAAGTCTTTGGGTCAGTCAGTAGAGGGATGCTGTGAGCAGCTGGGACAGCCCTGGCAGTAGCAGAGGCAAGGCAGATGCAATACTCGGGCAGATACCAGATGGTCACTGACCAGCAAGGAGAAGGACAAATCCAGACAAGCTGCCCTCATAGTCCCTTAGTGTAATCTTAACCACCAAGAAGTAACTGCGGAACAGGGATAGAGTACAGCTGCTGGGCTGAGAGGCTAGGCACCCCCTGCTCTGAGCTTACTGCCCTCCACCCTCAGTACTTGCAGCCAGGACACAGGCCCTCATAGGCTCCCCAGCATGGATGCCCTTTATACTCTGAATGTACCTTGCAACTCTTCCACAGGCATCAAGCTACTTCTTTTGTGCCTTTGTTCATGCTGATTTGTCCAGAAAGACACCCCCTTTGGACTCTCACACCTTTTCACCTAATTTCCCCTCATCTGTTAAACTGCAGTTCAGTCAGCAATGGTGGGAAGTTCTTCCTTGACAGGCTCCTCCTGGCCCTAACCCCAGCTGGGAGCCTGCCCACCTATTCCCTATTATCTTGATTTTGCTAATTTCTTTGCATTTACAAGTTTATTAAAATCATCTATATATGTGTTCATTTTACCCACTGCACTATGGGCTCCCAGGTAATTTTACTTATTTACCTTTGGAGCCTCAAGTTCTGGTTCTAGACCTGATACAGAATAGCTATCAGCTAATTTTTATTAAACAGGAGGGCCCTCCCATAACCTCAACAGTCCAGGGCTTTTAGAATGGAAAGGAAATAAACAGCCACTTCCTACCTTGCTGGTGCATATGGCACTTTCCACTTGGGTGTCCGCATTTTCCCATCTACCAACCCTCCCGTCCGTTTTCTACCTCCCTTCTCCACCAAAGCTGCCCTGCCCCACAGGTGAGAATGAGCCCACCAAGCCTGAAATTTCCATGGAGTCATCGGCTGTGTGAGTCAAGTGGGAGGTCAGACATAGTACAGTACAGGCAGTATAAGTTCTGGTGTCAAAACAGACCTGTGTTCAAATCCCATCCCATTTACCTGCTGTGTGATTAAAAACTCTTTTACTTTTCTGAAATTGTTTTCCATGTATAAAACGGGAGATTAATTTCTCCATAGGATTTGCTTTAGGTTGAGTCCCCCCCAGAAGTGGATGTAACTTGAGGGCAAAAACTTTATTTGGGAAGATCCAGAGCAGGGCCAGGACTAGGGTGATGCAAGTGAAATACCTAGGATGCAGAAATGTAACAAGACCCTCTCAAGTTCTAACCCTGCATTTACATGAAACTGTTACCTAGTCCTGGTCCTGACAGGAGAGTTGGAAGCAAGGTAGCAAGGGAAAGATGCCAACAGAGAAGGGTACATAATTAAGTCGTTGCTGGGAGGTACTGACACTCAATTCAACAGAAAGAAGAATAGAATACACCTTATTCCACCTGAGGGGTAAAGAAGACGGGGTATTTATCATTCAACTTTCATTTTCACTGGCTGAGAGCTACCCCAGGGCACTGCTCCCCTGGAACTTCTAGCATGTACCAACATAAGCCAAAAGAAATCCTCAGGCAGGGCATCATAGGTACTTCCAAAAGGGCCCTGTGGGAATGCAGTAGAAGGGTGAATGCCCAAGGGAAGTGGGCCAGGCACAACATCTTTTGGAGGGCTGTTGTAAGGATGAAATAACACAGCTACAATGCCTGACACAGAGCAATCTCTGTCTTTCTCCCAGTTTATGGCAATAGCTTGTGAAGCTCATGAAGCTTCCCAGCTTTCCATGAGTTGGCAACACCAGCATTGCAGCCGCTTCCTGTCTTTCAGAAGAACCACCCAGGGTCCCCAGGAGAGCTCCAAATGTACAGGAACCAAGCTTTCTGTGGCAGGCTGGTGGTTGATGGGGCTATAGTAGATCCTCTGAGTGAGTGCTCAGTCCTCAGAAATATCTCCTCTTGCATCTGCACTCCACCTCTCTCTGGTCCTTCCACCCCTCACTGCAACACCACTTATGACAAGACTTATGTCAAATTAGTAACAACTGCTGCCACTAACTCCCCATCTTCTATGTGACAGACATTGTGGTACAACTTTTATATACATTATATTAATCCTTAGAAATCTGTAAGCATAATTTTTCTTATTTTGTGGGCAAAGAAAACTAAGTACAGAGAGGCTGGGTAACTTGTATCAGAAGCAGAGCGCAGACTTGGTTTGGTTTGACACACTTTCTACTTTGTCTCTTGTACCTTTTTCACTAATCCTCCCCCTGTAAGACCATAGCACAGGGAAGGAAAAAAAAAAAAAGCGGCAGCCCTTATTGAAGATAGCTGGGGGAGGTGTGTTTGGGGTGGCAAACAGTGATTGTTCTTCCCTTCATTCTCCATTAACTAATAAATAAGCCTTTATTTCCTGGTCTGGCTGATCCATACCCTCGTGCCACTGAACCAAGTTCTATGGCAACTGCTCATATTTAAGTTAAATAATTTACCTTTGAGAAACAGCTCTTTCCCTTTTCTTCAGGCAGAGAGAGAAACACAGTCCCCTGTTTATAGAGCTCTACCTCCAATAAAGTGCCATTTAATGAGAAAGATGATAAGCAAGGGTTAAGCAGTTGGGACTTAACTGATAAACTACTTTTCCTTAGAAGGAAAATAATCAATACTAGAGTTAAAATAAAGCATTCTTTAGAACTGAAGAGTAGCAGCACCACAGTTTTACTGACATGAACAAAGAGTGGCTTTATTTGTTCCTCTGAGCCTTTGTTTCCTCATCTGAAAATGGGTTATAATATCTATTTCATAGGGTTGCTATGAGGATTAAATGTAATGAAGGTACATTCATTACCTGGTCTATGGTAACTGCTCAAAAAAAAATAGCTATTACATACGTGATATAGCTGCAATGTCAGTGCCATCCAACAACAAGACATCATCTATGGATGGCAGTGAGCAGCCTGCCTTCTAACTGAAGGAGCTTGTGTGCAAATGTCCCTAGAGCAGGATACAGTGTCTTAACGTCTGTGCTGATTCTTACATTCTAGCTACCTTCCCCAGGCTAACTAATTTTAATTAAAATAAAGGAAATGGTAACTTGGGATACAATAAATCAGTCAGAAGAGTCTGCATTGTGTGCCCATTTATCATGACCCAAGATCTCCTCCTGGTCAACGGCTACCTCCTACAATCTCTCAAGCCATCTTCAAAGCAGCTGGGGCTAAAGCTAGCTTTCTTAAGATACCTGTTTGTTCATCTCCCTCAGGTAACTACCTCTGCCATTTCACAACCTCTCATTTTGGAGTCTGCTTATACACTGAGGACAGACCATATTTTGTTCTGCAGTGGAAGTTCCCAGGCAAAATGATGGAAGAATATGCACTACCCCAGTAATGTTAGTGGAATAACAGTCACTATTGCTGCTATGACCTTTGACAGGAAGAAAAACCAATATTATTTTGAACATATGACTATGCCTGGCATCTCTACTGGTTAATCTATTTTGAAAAAATAATCACATAGGAACTAATACCAGACTGCATACCTAAAAAATCCTAGGGAAAATGGCAGGGCACTTCTCTCAAATATTCTATGCTCTAAGAATTTTTTTTTGCAGGGCGGCTGGGGTCGGGGGTACTGGGGATTAAACTCAGGGGCACTTAACCATAGAGCCATATCCCCAACCCTTTTTATT